CTTCCACAATAGGCGCCAAAACGCTCCCAGGTTATCCAAAACCCGATCCGGGCATACGCCCAAATCCGAAATCATCATACGAACCTGCTGGACCCTTCGGATCCCAATTCCGAGGTCGTTTACTCAAAATTCCAATCCTAGTTTGTTTCTTCAATTTTAAGCTTTCAAAATGAGAATTTCCATTTAGATTTGACTCCAAACTTCCTGAATTTTAATTCTGACCATACACACAAGTCAATATACCTGAGATGGAGCCGCTCATGGCCTCAAACTGCTGAATGACGCGCCGGAGCTCAAAACGACCGGTTGGGTCGTTACATCTTTAGATTCTGTATTAGGCCTCATTTGTTTTGTTTTTTAAGATTAAGACGTCTGAATCTGAATACACATCTGAATATCAAGATATGTATTAAGATTAAAACATCTGAATTTGAATACACATCTGAATATATTAAGATGTGTATTAAGATCTGAATACTAAATAATTAATACTGTTTGATTTTTAACATCTGAATGTATAAAATTTATCTTTATTTAAAAATTAATAAACATAAAATTCAAATAAAATACTAACTAATCTAAATCAATAAAATATATAGTTTTTTAAAATATGATAGTTGTTGGTGGTTTGGGCACCACCAAACNTAAGATTCAAACTTTAAAAACAAACGCACTTAATGTCTGAGATCTGAATGATTAAGATTCAGACCTCCATTAAGTGCAAACAAATGAGGTCTTAGAGTCCGTTATGGGTATCTTATGCTTTTAAGATTGCTTTTTTAGAATATTCATTTTCTTTTTATAAAGATAACAACAACAACAATAACAAACCCAGTATGTTCCCACCAGGTGGGGTCTGGGGAGGGTAGTATGTACGCAGACCTTACCCCTACCTATCAGGTAGAGAGGTTGTTTCCAATAGACCCTCGCAGGGGATCATAAAGTAATTGATAATTTCCCAGAATTCCTGCAGCGTTAAGCTGTAGAATTGTTAATCTATTCTTGAATGAAAACTAGTTGAAGTAATAGTAACTGGAAGTTGTTCAGAATAGGAGTATAAAAAATTTCATTTCTTAGCTCGTATCATGCTTAAAGATCTTCTAAGCTATTACCACAATTAGAACACCTTTAATACAACAATTTCCTACCCGTTTGAACCCTGATCTGCATTATTTTGACCCTAAAAGCTCCTGCGCACTTTGTCCCAAGTCACCATCATCAAGTTGCTTTTGTGTACTGGTGTTCCTACATTTTTTCCATGCCAAACTAAATGCGAGTGACTTAAGCCTCAAGATCCTCTTTGTACTACCAAAATTGTTTTTGTATTTTGCTGACTTGGTGTGCATCATACTGTTGTCTTTTTTTTTTTTTGCTCGAAGGGATGTTGCTCTGTCTAAATGTGCACGTCTGCTCCTGGTGCTTGGTTAAGGATTTATTTATTTAGAAGAGCAATATTAAGCTCAATTATGTAATAAATAGCCCTTAAGATACCTTTTTTTAGTAAGGCCCCTTAAAAGGTACTTATAGAAAAATAGCCCATTAATCTGTATGATATAACTTATTTGAGCCAAAGTTACAGCCAGTTCAATTTAGAATTCTAAATGAGAGGAAAACAAAATTGAAGAGGAAAAAAGAAAGAAATAAAGGGACTTGAAAATTAAATCCTGTTTGGCCTTATCAACCTTACATAATAATTCTTTCATCTGGCTTGCTATAACCATGTTGAACAGGTGTGACTTTGGTGAGTATTATTGCCTCAAAATAAAAGATTCCCTCTGTTTCATTTTTTTGTGTATTAGTTTGAATGGGTACAAAGTTTAAGAAACGTAAGGAAGACTTTTGAATGTTGTGGTTTTAAACTAAAGATGTGTGTAATGTACCTAGATGCCTTGAATCGTGTGGTCTTAAATATGTCATGTGGAATGTTTGATTTAGGGAGTTACTAAACACAGGAAGAGGCATTCGTTTTGAGTGTCCCTCTCTTCATGGGATTTCTTCTTCATAAGTTCTCCAATTTTCACTAAATGATGTAATCACTAACAATGTCAATTTATTGCAGAAAAGTTGTGACAGCATATAGCGATCACATGAAAGCCCTTGCGCAGGAACTTCTGGGTTTAGTCTCTGAGAGTCTAGGCTTGACATGTCAGTCCATGGAAAATGTTGTTGGCGACTTCTACCAAAACATCACTATTAGTTACTATCCACCCTGCCCTCAACCGGAGCTTACTCTTGGTCTGCAATCACATTCTGACATGGGTATCATTACTCTTCTCATCCAAGATGATGTAGGGGGTCTTGAGGTTTTCAACAATGGAGAATGGGTTACCGTAAATCCAATGTCAGATGCTATTTGTGTCATCTTAGCGGACCAAACTGAGGTACTGTTTCTCGTTATAGTTAGTGATTAATTCATAGCTTCTTGCACTGATTTTTCTGTGTTTTCTGTAAGTTCTTAAATAATACTACCATACTGTTATTTCTTTAAATCATCTTAAGAAAGATTTTTAGACAACAAGTCTCCCAAGCTCAGGGAAGATTCAAATGCTCTTCAAATACCATTTGTCTTTGGAAAGGAGTTCTTTGGATGTGAAAACAAATTCATTTACAAGAAAACAAAACAAAACAATTCGACAAACTTTTCCAAAGAGCTGTCCAAACACCACAGAAGAAAGAGTGAAAAGAAAATAAATGTTCAATAGATTTATACTTAAATAAAAATAATTGTCAATTGGTATCTGAGCCTAGCGTGCAAGCTCTTGACATGGCATAGGGATGTTGATTTGGTTTAATTGACCAAAAGGCTATCCCATTTACGAATACTGTAGGTTCAAGTTACTGTTACTTTCTTTATAAAAAAAATACTATAGGTTCAAGTTAGTATCTACATGGCCTATCATATCATCTATACATGTAGAGATTTGGAAGCTCCAAAAAGTCTACAAAGAACTTCACAATCCTATGAATATGGACAGCACTGTTTTCTTTAGCTTCAAAAGTTCTTCAAGTTTCTGCTTCCCATACAGTCCACATAATTGTCCAGTTATATCGACAATTTCCCAGCTTTCTGCCCCTGCTTCTTCTTGGGCATTTTTAAATTTATCACCTTTGACTCGTACCCCATAGTATTCACGTACAAGCAGCATTTGTTAGCAGCCCTAAATGTAAAATACGAGAGGTAAATACGTCAACTACTTAGTTGGTGCTAATGATATGTGAAAAGGTTAGTTCATGGAGTNAAGAAGGCTAATTGAAACCTTTATCTTTTCTATTTTTATTGGTAAAAGAAATTCTCCCTCTAATACTAACTGATTCAAATATGCAGACAGCAAAGCTTTAAAAAATATTTTACCCAGAAGATCCTTGTCTGTATTGTAAATGAAATATATAAATGGTTAAAGACATCAAGCTTTCATCTCCTACAAACCCAGCTATCTGCAGTGCATTTTTTTAGATTCTTCTTACAACTCACCTCATAGCCTTTTTCATTGTATTTCGAATAATATTTTTCATTTAGGGATTTATATTCTTTATCTTCTGCAAATTACTCTGTATCAAAAGAACTATTTTTCCACATATAAGTATTTCTGCTTAGATAAATGAGCAGATTGAATAACGTTCTTATTTTTCCTTTTTGAATAGCAAGTGTTTGAGTGTTTATTATACTTATCAATGTATGTATATGTATGTATGTACGTATGTACATATGTACGTACGCGAGAGAACATGTTTTGAGTTGCATGCTAGTAAAAGCGAACAGTCTGATTGAGTTAGTGTTGTCAAAGGCGCACTCAAAGCGCGCTTAAGGGCCTGAAGAGCAAAAAACATGTTGAGCGCTTCGCCTCGCTTAGCGGGCACTTCAGTATCGTGATCAAGGTTCTAAGGCATACTTTTCCTTGCCAATAAGCGTAGCCCTGAAGAGGTGACATTAAACAATTGATATATCTCTTTATCCTAATTTGATTTTTAATTTCTTTATCGATATCTTTGTTATTCATGCTTATAGTTATTACTGTTGGGTAAGACATAATCTATTTGTATTTTTTCTCTATTGCGCCTTTCTTCATTAAAACCCACACTTTATTTGCATTTTGCGATTAAAGCCCTAATAAACCTTAGAGCTTTTTTGCGCTTTTCGCTTTTGATAACACTCAACAAACAAAGCATACCACAGGATAGCCACGACTTATGGAGAATGGGGATGGGGAATAATGGAGCATTCTCTGTCCTATTAAGAAAAGCTTTTGATTTGTGAGGAGGTCTACTTCCCACATGGTTTGATTTGCATCTGAAAAATACCGAGAAAGGTGTTTTTTTTTTTTTACTTAGTTAGCTACAAGAGGGTTGATCTTGACGATAGAGAATTTGAGAAAAAGGAGGTTGCCTATGCCAAATATTGTTTTATGTATAAGGGTTCGGATGAAGATATTGACCACCTACTCATACATTGTCCGGTAGTATCGAGGTTGAGGTGGGATAGTCTGGTATATCTTGGGTGATGCCAGGCATGGTGAAAGAGGTAATGTTCAGCAGGAATTATGGCAGAAGGAGAAGACACATGGTGTAGAAGAGTGCGCCGATAGCGCTTATGTGAGTCGTTTGGAAGGAAAGAAATAGGAAGCTTTAAGGGTGTTGAGATGAACTTTGTTCAGTTGAGGTGTTGTCTCTTTTCACTTATTTCTTTTTGGTGCGCCTATAGGGTTCCTTATGTATAGAGGATTGAGTGTCTTTCATAGAAAATCATCTTTTTATCTACGTTTTTGGTATACTTCTTGCTTATGTGAATGTCTTTTTCCCCATTACAATAACAACAACCCAGTGTAATCCCACAAGTAGGATCTGTGGAGGGTAGGATGTACGCAGCCTTACCCCTACCCTGGAAAGGCAGAGAGATTGGTTTCGACATACCTCGGCTAAAGAAGATGGAAGAAGCACTGATAGCAAGTAATAGCAAGACAATATATTTAGAAAACTAAATCGAAGAGAGCAATAGAGAATGTGAAAGAAATACCGATAGCAAGTAATAGCTAGACAATATATAGAAAACTAAATCCAAGATAGGAATAGAGGATATGAAAGAAGTACTGCTAGCAAACTAAGGAAGTATTGATGGCAAGTAATAACAGAACAAGATATGCGACAATAGCAAACTAAGGATAAAAGGGTACTATACTAACACTAATACTATCGAACTAATCCTCTACTAGGGTACCATACTAACACGTCTACCTACTAACCTTCTACCCTAATCCTCAACCTCCACACCCTTCTATCCAGGGTCATGTCCTCGGCTAGCTCAAGTTGCGTCATATTCCGCCTGATCACCTCTCCCCAAGACTTCTTTAGCCTACCTCTACCTTTCCTCTTACCCCAAGGCCAGCCCCTCACACCTTCTGACTGGGGCATCTGTGCTTCTCCTTTTAACATGCCCGAACCATTTCTGCCTCGCCTCTCGCATCTTTTCCTCCATAGGAGTCACTCCCACCTTTCCCCATTCATTAATAAAATTTTACTTACTTTATCAACAATAAAACTAACACTTTTATTTATTGATCAAAGAAGAAAAAACTGTACATCTGAAGCTGAAATCATTTTCAATAACTATTGTGTATAGACGAATCTGTTGGTGCATGTGCTACTGTTGTTTGTGACTTTATGGTTTCCTTTTTCACCACTCCGTTCCATTCCACCCTCCAACCATGTGAAGGGCTGGTTATGGGGTTAACCTTAATCTAGTTGACTTTCAAATGGAGAAATACACTGTCTACCAGAATCCAGAGGAAAGGGATGAGTACCTGGTGCTTAAGGGATCATTAATAAAGGCGTATGCCATTTGTTGAAGAACATTTTCTAAGTGTCTGTTGCAGCTATTAACCCTAATCCAGCTGACTTTCTATGAGAGAGTCATGGTCTTGGACCAAAATCCTGACGAAAGGGATGGGTATCTGATGCTTAAGGGGCCACTAATAAAGGCCAAAGCCATTTTTTTTTTCATGCGGCATTTTCAGAATGTCTGTTAGTAGCTGTGCTAATGTTTCCTAAATCATCCTATTGAGTGATTCATGGTCCTGGACCAAAATCCTGAAGAAAGGGATGGGTATCTGATACTTAAGGGACCACTAATGAAGGCCAATGCCACTTTTCAAGCGGCATTTTTAAATGTCTGTTAGTAGCTGTGCTGATGTTTCCTAAATCCCAAGGGGTCATGTTTGCGATGATCTTAATAATATAAGTGCTCTTTCTCGCAGATCATATCTAACGGTGGGTATAGAAGTGCTCAACATCGGGCAGTGACGAATGCTAGAAAAGCCCGGCTTTCAGTTGCCACTATTCACGACCCTGCAAAGACGAGGCAAATTTCTCCATCTCCAGCCTTCCACCCGCCTAAATATCGCCCGGTGATTTACGGTGACTATGTCTCATCATGGTACACAAAAGGGCCCGAGGGAAAGCGGAACCTTGATGCACTTCTATGTTAATTGCCAACTCAATTAGTCTGTTTTGTGCGCATTCATTCAATATAGGAAGAACGATCAGATTTGTATTACTTTGACCAAACATTTATGGTTCCAGCAGATTTTAAAGAATAATAGGGAGCTGTTGATCAGAAGGGCTATCGATTATCATAATCCTCCACAAGCTATAAGCATATTGGTGCAGAAAAAAGATCTGTACCATGTAATTATTCCTGTGTTAAATTAGCTGAACGTTGTTTTAGTGTTTTTTATTCCATATCTTAGTAAAGATAACTGTAAAATTGTCAGTGGAACATTCCTCCCACAAAATGTGAATAAGATGTTACCAAAATAGCTTTCACTTAACATAGCAAGTTCGTCACATTGGTTGGCTCAGTGTAAATTTATGGGACAACAGTTACAATCTGTTAAAATTTTGACAATTCCTAATTGGAGCGACGGAAGTGTATATATCAATTAATTGAGTTAAAATAGCACGGGCTAGCCATTTTTCGGACTGGTCATTCAAAAATAATCGGCGTTTGTCAAGTCATTGAAAAATAGCCACTATTTTACTGCAACAGAGTTTGGTCCAGCATAATATATTGAAGTCCGGTGCATCTGTGTATGAACTTCCAGCATTTTATGCTGGACTGGTATACTTTGCTGGTATATTGGAGTTCCAGTATATTATATTGGAATTCCAGTATATTATGCTGGAGTAATTTCCGGATTTTGTACTGTGTTTTCGTTCAGATTTATCTTTTCATGAAAAGTAGCTAAATTTCGATGACTTTTGAAATTGTAGCTATTTTTGAATGATCACTTGTAAATCTGGCTATTTTTGAATTTCCCCATTAATTGAAGATTAAACTGATTACTTGGATATTGCAACATCTGAAATATTTTAGATATTGCAAAAATTAAAAATATATTTCAGATTGATGCATCCAAATTTTTGTAACCTATTTGGGTATACAAAAAAAGTAGATTTAAAACACGAAACCAAGTTAAAGTTCATTACTTTGGATTTGTTATTTCAATTGGCCAATCATCTTTCTCCAACTCCGTCACTCTGATGTGCCTTACTTCGTAAAGAATATAAGCAGCACCTTAATGAAAGTCAGTACCATCCCGTTAAGTAGGGGTGTACAAAGGAAACCGACAAACCGTATCAACCAGATAATTTGAGTCAAACCAAGAAAAAAAAACTCGACTATGGTTTGGTTTGATTCGGTTTGGTGTTGGAAAAAAAATTCAACCATAATTGATTTGGTTTAGTTTTAACTAAAGAAAGTCAAACCGAAACCAAACCAACCCGACATTATATATATAAAAGTTTTAGATATATTTAATTTATAAATATACTTATTGTGATGTAATTTATAAATATTTCTTAAAATTTTTTATAATTTTATCTTTTAAGGTATTATTCCAAGGTTGGACTTAGAACTTTTGAATGTTCCAATAAGTTTTATAGCCATTAATATTAGTAAATTAAATAATGCTAACAAAAGCCCTAACCAAAATCAAATTAATACTAATGCTAACAAAAGACATTCAATTCAATACTACGAACGGGAATGTACTGAATATCTATTTTTTGTTTTGCAATAATTTAAATAAAAATGCATAATCTATTTTTATTTTTTCTTTAGATTTTAGTTATGTAATTAATACTCCCTTATTAGTCTACTTCTTTTAGCATGACTTAGTATTTTTAGATTATGTTTATTTTTATTATGGCCTTTTAATTAGCAATATTTATATTACATAATTTTATTGTCTTTATTGTTGAATATTTTAGGATAAGTCATGACACATCTCATATTTTGTATATTTTTTCTTGAAAAATACTTTATATTATTGTATCTTACTAGGATTAAAGAAATATTTTGAGCACAAGTTATATGTTTTGTTCTACGAAGATTTTACCGGAAAAACCCCCGAAAAAACCCGAATAACCGAGAAAAATCGAGATTGAAAAATCCGAGTTTTATTGGTTTGGTTTGGTCTTTAGATTTAATAAGCCGACACAATTGGTTTGGTTTGGTTTGGTAATTGTAAAATCTGAACCAACCCGACCTATGTACACCCCTACCGTTAAGCATAGGTTTTCTAGTTGGGGCAATGAACAATTAGTTGTTATACTAACTCTACTAGATCAAGCTATAAGTATCCAGCCCAGATCTTCCCATTAATTGCTCGAATTCATTTTGTCTATCAGGTATTTCAATTTTTCTTTAGAAGTCGTTTGGTTCATGAACTAGTTATAGATTTATAATAAATGAATTATTATGCGATTAATAATTGTACATAAATAGTATGCTAGATTATAATTAATGACTCGATAAGGTTATTTGTCTGGTATAATTACTATAATACTCACGCAAAATATGAAATCCTAACAAGATGATTGAAAAATTCATGAATCAACAAAACCCACATTTGGCTCTTGGTTAGTTGCACAATACAAAAGTCACGGCAAGAAAACACTACCAAACTTATTTTAACATGAAAAGTGAATGTTATGTTTGAAAATACTATATGAAACAGAAAATACACAATACACATAAATGCACGTCACGCTCACGCAAATATCAATTGGCATTAATCAATCCATTAACATTAATATAACACACTCAGCACATTTATTTCTGTCATAATTTTTTTTGGCTCTCATGAATCTCATTTATAAGTCTACAAATATTGTATTAAGGGCTAACAACATTTTTGGTCCCTAGGTTATCTTTTAATGAACATCCAAAGGGAGTGTTATAAATATATTATATTATGGATGTTTATTTAGTACTCCATTGTAAATAAGCTTCATGAAGAAACTTATACATATGGGACTCCGCCGTAAATATGTTTATCTATTTAGTACTCTATTGGAAATAAGCCTCCTGAAGAAGCTTATCACTTTGGTACCCGGTTATGAATAAACATTACCCCCGGTAGAAGATTATCTATACCGGGTATAATAAGCTTATCCTTTCGATACTCCGTTATGGATAAATATTACCCCCGGTAAAAGATTATTCATACCTGGTACAATGAGCTTATCCTTTCTGTACTCCATTATGGATAAACATTACCCCCAGTAGAAGATTATCTATACCTATTACAATGAGCTTATCCTTTCAGTACTCCGTTATGGATAAACATTACTCTCAGTAAAAAATTATCCATATCTGGTATAATAGCATCTTACACAGGAGCTTGCAGTAGCAGCTTACACAACAGCTTCCTTTCTTCTATAAATAGAAGAGATTTCAGTTCATTATGTACATCAGTTTGAATTCGAATAATATATCAGTTTCTCTCTATACTTGTCTTTACTTTACAATCTTTATTTTATAACACGTTATCAGCACGAAACGCTGTCATCTCAAGCAAATACTTTGAAAGTATCTGAGGTACGAACTTTCTTTTTCTATATAATGTCAAATCTTTCTAAACTTGAATTTGTAGCCCTGGATATACTGGGCAAAAGCTACATGTCTTGGGTGCTTGATGCTGAAATTCATCTTGATGCGATGAGTCTGGTAGGCACCATCAAGGATAAAAATCAGGCATCAAACCAAGACCGTGTCAAAGCAATGATATTCCTACGCCATCACCTTGATGGGGGCCTGAAAATGGAAATCTCACTATTAAAGATCCAGTCATATTGTGGAATAATTTGAAAGATAGATATGACCACCTGAAGATGGTCGTTCTTCCATAGGCATATTATGATTGGACTCATCTAAGGCTACAAGATTTTAAATTTATAAGTGAATATAATTCTGCTATAATCAGGATTATTTCCCAATTGAAATTATGTGGTGATAATATTACTGATCATGATATGTTGGAGAAAACTTTCACCACTTTTCATGCCTCGAATATGCTCCTGCAGCAGCAATATCGAGAGATGGGATTTAAAAAGTATTCTGAACTTATCTCACATCTTCTTGTAGCCGAGCAACATAATGGGCTATTAATGAAAAATCATGAAAGCCGACCTACTAGTTCTTGTCCATTTCCTAAAATCTCAGTGAATGAGACGAACTTCCACCAAGCTAAGCGTGGAAGAGGTCGTGGCCCCAATCGTGGTCATGGCCATGGTCGGGGAAGAAATTTTAATCATGGTAATAATAATGCACCAAAGAACCCTCCTCACCACCAGCAGTGGAAAAGGAAGGAACAAAAGCATGAAGCGGTGCAAGCACCAAATGCAGAAAATGCATGCTATAGATGTGGAGGAAAAGGGCACTGGTCACGTACTTGTCGTACGCCAAAGCACCTGGTTGAGCTTTATCAAGCCTCCCTAAAGAAGACGGAGAAAAATGCTGAAGCAAATTTTATTTCTGAAGATAATTTAGACTTCATGCATTTGGATGTAGCTTTATCTTACACTCCCTGATGGAGAAACAAGTCCATGTGATCAGTGGTGAATCTGTAGAAATGTAAATATTTTAATTTTTATTGTTTGCAATAGATAGTACGGTTATGTAATTATTGCACATAAATAAAAGNTTTTAATTTTTGTTATTTGTAATAGATAGTATGGTTATGTAATTGTTGTACATAAAGAAAAATTATGATTTGATAATGATGTTTACTATAATATATCGTATTTATGTCATTTTGAAGAATATGGATAACATTATTAGATCAACTTAAACTCTAGCAGAGTTTGCAAGAAATATACAACCACCAGGAGTGGTTATATTTCGTATATCTCATTGTAACTATATTTTATTAACCACCAGAAGTGGTATATGCCTATGATCACCAGAAGTGATAATTTAGACTTTCTATGGTTATACTTGAAGATAAGTTGCATAAATATTCTCTATATTAAATGCACGCCTCGATTTGCTCCTGAAGTAGTAAATATTTTAAAAGAGATTGAAGCATCACAATTTGATGTGATTAATGCGCATTCAGATAATTATGTTTGATTTCCTGAAAGANTGAAGGATGAGAACTTTTGATAGTATTAATCCATTCCCTGAAGTGAATGTGACAATATTAATAAGTCGGGTAAATATGAACGCGTGCTTGATGTGAATATATTACAATTCACCTCCAGAAGAGGTAATATAATTGAGAGAATATATACTTAATATTTTGTATTTTAAATTTGCTCCTGAAGAAGTAACACAATTGAAATTGCCTCCTGAAGTAGGAAAATATTATGAAAAGGAGTTTTTGTGTGCTTAAACAATTGTTTTACATTGTTTATTTGATTGTGATTTTCTCTCATGATACCAGAAGTGTCTGAGCAATATTTGATAGTACAAAATGTATCAACAACTCCTGAAGAGCTAGCTGTTTTCCTAGAGGATACATGACACTAGTAGTGTCCGATAAAT